TAAAATTCCGATGGTACCAGAAACTGTCTGATTGTAATTCAGTCTCGCCTTTCCCCTGAGTGTCGAGCGTCGGCCAGATTCCCTTGTAACTCCTTGCAGTGCCATTCTCCTCAGACCATAATGATCTATCTGTGCATTGTTGGGTAGGCAGTGGGTCTGTTCTTGTTTTCCCCACAATGGGAGCCCCGCGAATGTGAATTTCACGTGGAATGGGTTGTTGTTTTCTGTTGTGCCTGCAAGGGGTTTGTTGTAAGCTGCACTAAAACTGACAGATGGCTGACTACATTCAGAATGATGTGCACTTATGCCATGTTGTGTGTCCAATGCCGGATTTCATGATTAATTGTTTGCATCGTGAGCTGCAATTCTTTTGTGTGACTGTTAGTGTTGGCACCTCTGATTGCTGCCTTATGCATTTACTTTGCATGTGTGAGCTTGAAGATTTTACTGGGACTGACATGCTTTTGACTAGTTTTTTTGGAACAACAAAAGACATTTTGTATGATTCCCACTGGTACAGGAACGGAGACCTTATGGGACAACCCATGTTTGAATCTTGACTAACCACTTTCTTTAAATTACCTAAAATATGGTACCAGGAAAAATTTAAAGAAGTAAAGGCAGCCAGTTTGATATAAATCACTTCTCTTATCAAATGTTCATTGGTTTTCAAAAATGTATGTGCCAGGATGCCTCAGGACAGGAAAATACTGTTGTTCCAGAGAGAAGAAATATGATGATTATGCTGCTAAAACATTTCAAAGCATTATGATGTTGAAGTTTCATTGTTAAGCTTTTAGTTCATAATCGTGTTTTGTTCGATTTATGTGCATAGCAGCATTTATTTTGAAAAAAGTTTTTTTGTTTTGTTAATGATTATTTTAGAAATTTTCTTTTATTTATTTATTATTTTTTTAATGTTAATGCTTTGCATCTGCTTTATGGTAAATTTAATATATGGAGGCTTTATGCAAAAATGATTATCTTGGTTTATCACAGTATGAGACATAAGGGTGAAATTCCAGAAATATGGAAGGGTGAGAGAAAATGAAGATGTCCTGGGGAAAACGTGACAGCCTACAAGCAGGCAGGAAGTCACCACGGCGCAGCAGCTAGATGCTCACGTGCAGATCGGAAGGTCGTGGGTTTGCTCCCTGGCAGAGAAAGACTTTTTTTTTTTTTTTTAAATGACCTTGACTCCTAGGTTGACCAAGCTGCGTGGGTACCGTGTGCAGTCCCAGGAAGTAAAAGCGGCCAGCTTGATGCTGACCACGTCACCCATCTTGCGCCAGTTGGTCTATCAAAATATAGATCTGGCCCTATATGCCCAATACGCCTAAAAACATGGAAAAGAGACCTTTACTTTTTTTTTTTTTTTTTTTTTTGGTAAAAGTTAAAAGTGAACGTTTTCTCATGCCATTGTAACACCAGGAATATAGTGCTAGGACCCTCTTTCTTTAATTCATACCAGTGTGTTGGGAAAGGAACAGTCAGATAGACTGGCAGGTGCTGAACCACTTGGTGGTAAATTGATGCGTGACAACCTAGATCTGCTTCGCAGCAGGCCTGGCTTATTTGTATGCAGACTACTATTGGTTTCTCACCTCTCTGGCAGATGCATTCTCTAGGAAAAAATCCATTAATCACATTTTGTAACATATGTGTTAGGGGGGCATTGGGACTGTTATTTTTGGCCTCAAAGTTGGGCCCTGGAAGAGGGAGACTGAGAAAACAGATGCTGGAAAGTTTGACATCATGGCATGGAGAATCATCTATGTCAGAGTTGTTTGAAAGTACACCAGACAGAAGGTTGTGGATGGACATGACTACCAACACCATGCGGCATGGAGAATCATCTGTGTCAGAGTTGTTTGAAAGTAGATGAGACAGAAGGTTGTGGCTAGACATGACTACCAATGCCACATGGCATGGAGAATCATTTGTGTCAAGAGTTGATTGAAAGTACACGAGACAGAAGGTTGTGGATAGACATGACTTCCAATGCCACATGGCATGGAGAATCATTTGTGTCAAAGTTGATTAAAAGCACACGAGTCAGAAGGTTGTGGATAGACATGACTATCAATGCCACACGGCATGGAGAATCATTTGTGTCAAAGTTTATTAAAAGCACACGAGCCAGAAGGTTCTGGACAGACATGACTATCAATGCCACATGGCATGGAGAATCATTTGTGTCAGAGTTGATTGAAAGTACACGAGCCAGAAGGTTGTGAATAGACATGACTTCCAACGCCACACGGCATGGACTTTGAGAAGAAGGGTGGGTGCATAACCGTTCTGGCATTGCACAGTTTTTGCTTTGACACATTGTAGTTGTCCTCATTCATGAGTTGTACATATCATATGCAAGGCTTTGTTAGTTTTGAAAGGCATTGTTATATATGTTGTAAAATCTTCAAGCCATTTTGGTATATACGTTATATGTTTACTCTGAGACAGTGTGTATTATGTCTCCTCCTTCACCGGCTGTAAACTCCAGTGGAAAGTTCTGGTTGTTTGTCTACTTCTGGACTTTGGTCTTGCTTCAGAACTTCAGTTTATGTGTGCACATCCATTTTACAGATATGGCTTATGTGTGTGCAGATATGGCTTATGTGTATGCAGACTGTTGGTTTTCATCTCCCAGGCAGATAAACTCTGAAACATCCCTTATTTTCCCCGAATAATAGGACCCCGGACTCCACACATGAGGATACATGTTGTATATTTGAACTTTGTCAGCAACTAATATATAAGCCCATTGGGACATGCTTTTATGTTCTACTTTTGCCTCATATATCTAGATGAGTGTAGGCACTTTTAAGATTGCTGTATCAGACATATGTACATGTGGAAAATTGCCCTAGACAAAGAACACTTACTGCCTACTCAAAAGCATGTTCCTTCGAAGTCAGATTGCATCTGCCTGAAAGGCAAGGAACCAACAGTCTGCATGCACATGATACAGATCTGTAAAATGGATGCACATGCAACACTGAGCTTCTGGAACAGGACTAGCGTCCAGGAGTGGACGAACAACCAGACTGTTCTGCCGGAGTTTACAGCTTGTGAAAACCAGAAAATCTTCAGGACCATATATCAAAGACATTGTGTGTTCAGAATGTTCAGAGCTGCCTCCACATCTTCAGGGTTATTGGCTGAATTTACACTGGACTTTAGTGGGAGAATGATAAGGTCAGTATCATGCCTGCAATTTTTACTTCCGTGAACATTTCTTAGTACCTATTTTAAGCCAGGTCAGCCTGGGAGTCCAGCTCAGTTTTAAAACTCTCCACCTCAAAAGGATTCTAACAGAGACCAACAGGGTGGCAGTAGAAGTCTTCTTTGCATTCACCGGCTGTAAACTCCGGAGGAAAGTTCTGGGTATTCGTCCACCTCTGGACTTTAGTATTGTTCTAGAACCCGAGTACACATCCATTTTACACATCTGACTTATCTGTATGCAGATTGTTGGTTCCTTGCCTCTCAGGCAGATGCACTCCAGCTTTGAAGGAAGCCCCCAATCAGTTTATGACATGCTTAATGGAGGGGGGAAATGGGCCTATCCTTGTTTTCCCCACAATGGGGCCCCAGAACCCACATGGGTAGCAGGTAGAGGTGCTGATCACTGTGGTCCAACTATGTCCTTGGAGTCACTGCTGACACATGATTTTGTTTATGTGCAGAACAGCATTCTCTAACCAGTGCATTTCTTTGATATTGAAGTTACGGTCAAATTTAGCTATTCCAGGGACCAACCAAAAGTCTCTTGAAAACTGACTTTTAAAATGGGCTTTAACTCACCTACAGGTCTTATCGTCCAACATAGCATTATTTAATATTTCTGAGTTACAGCCCTTGTATTTTTCTGGCTAGAATTCACTTCCTGTATTCACACATATGTCAGCTTAAATTGGCCTATCAGACATGTAGTTTTGTTCTCAGAAATGCCGCAGTTAAGTGATTGTTGTGTATTCTTGTTTGTAACACTATTTATGCCATGTGCTGAGGGCTTTTTTTTTTTTTACCCGCAACCTTCACTTTTCATTTGTGATAATGTGAAGCTGAATAGTTGCACTGGGTTTGTGGGGGGGGGGGGGGATATCTTTCAATATTAGCATATAAGGCATTCACCAGTGATCTTCACTTCTGCCCATGTCAGTTTACACTCCATTTCCCTATTGGCATACAACACAACATCTAGTATGAGAATGGAGGTGGAGGCAGTAACTGCAGTTCTCCTGTGGCTAGAGAACAAGATGCATTCACATGTCATAATTGTAACAGACTCTGAAAGCATGCTAAGAAAGGTAAAGACAAAGATGCTTCGAGCAGAGTGGCAAGCTTCACTGGGAAGAGAAGGTAGTGAGCATACTTTGGATCTTTTCACCAAGCTATGCCGGCGTGGTGGGTAAACAGGCAGACAGTTTGGCTGGATCTGCACCACTGGGTGGTGAATTGATACATGACAAGGCAGGTGTGGCCAAGGCCCTTTGAAAGCAAGCAACGGAATCGGTAGAGAAAGAAGATTATTAGTCGAGCTTATACCAAGTAATGAAATCCACTGAACTGGGACTACAAAGCTTCATGAAAGTAGGGAAACAACGTACACACATGAGAAAAACACGTTTCAGTCTGAAACTTTTTCAGCAAGTTATTTTTGTTGAGAAAAGCTCTGGCCAGAACATCGATTTTCCTTGCGTCTGTATGCTGTTCCCCTTTGTTCAGGCCTAAGTATACAGTGCTGTGAAGCTCAGTTTCATAGGGTTTTTAGAGTGAAGTAAATACTACTTAAGACTGAAAGAGTTAAATGCGATGCAGGCAGTGAAATAACCTAGTTAAACAAAACAGAGAAAATCTCGTTGTATGTTACTTTAATTTTAATACTAATCTCAGAAGCTCACATCAATATTCAACCAGTTCAGATAAACAAATAAACAACCATTCAAACAACAAATGTAAAGTTGGAACTAGCTGCAACAAATTGTTTCCTTGTCTCAACTTGTCTCCATTTCTTCATCTGAAAATAAAATGAAATCACGTGTTTAAAGTAAATCACTGCCAACATCAGGGAACAAAATAAAGAAGTGACAACTCTTGCTCAGTTAATCTGTCCGATGTTTCCTTTTTTTTTTTTTTCATTTAACAGAACAAACAATAACTCATTTCAAACAGAACAAACAATAACAACTCATATCACTGAACAAGTCGGCTCTGCAGATAAGTCGATGCGAACGCTTCGTAATCCTGGGTTCGATCCCAGCTGCAGGCCATGCGCCTTGCATTTGTTTCTACAGTGGTATCAAGTAAGCCGACCGCCCAGAAAGCATTGGCAAACTACTAGACGTAAATTTGCATAGAAAAACCATACAACAGCCAGGGGCCGTTGGGGTTGGTTCTGCAATGTTCTGTAAAGGATACGCAACGAACCTTCTCCATCACTGAACAGGACAAACATTTCATTAAACAGAACAAACAATAACTCATACTGAACAGGCAAACAATAACTAATTCATTAAACTTGACAAATAAAAGCAATTAAGTTCATTAAAAAGTAAACAATAACAACTCATGTCTTTAAATTAAACCAGAAAAATAATAACTCGCATCATTAAACCGGACAAATAATAACTCTGTTATTAAACTGTGCAAATGATAATTCGCATCATTTAACCAGGCAAATAATAAGTCACGCCATTAAATTGGACAAATAGTAACTCCTGTCATTAAATCAGACAAATAAACCCTCTTGTCATTAAACCACACAAATAATAACCTTTGTCGTTAAACTGGGGAAATTAAAACATGTCATTAAACCAGACAAGACTTAGTCGAGATTTCAACATCACTACTATCAGGTTTCCCCATATAAACCAGACCAAAAAAACTAATGTAATTAAACCGGACAAAAAAAACACTTATGTCATTAAACAGGACAAATAACAACTTGCTTCATTAAACAGAACAAACTCATTTTACTGAACAGAACATGTCACAAACTCAATCATTTCAATGAACAGAACATGTCACAAACACACTCATTTCACTGAATAGTACATGTGACAAACTTGCTCATTTCATTGAACAAAACATGTCACAATTTCACTCATTTTACTGAACAGAACATGTCACAAACTCACTATTTCACTGAAGAGAACATGTCAGAAACTCACTATTTCATTTAACAGAACATGTCACAAACTCACTCATTTCACAAACTCACTCATTTCATTGAACAGAACATGTCACAAAGTCCCTCATTTCACAAACTCACTCATTTCATTGAACATAAACTCCTGCTGGTATTCCTTCAGGAACTGGGTTGACCGGGACTCATCCAAAAACAAGGAGTACACCCTTTTGATGTCATCGACATCAACTTCGGTTCCCTGAAACATGACGTTTACTGAATGGAAACATTGAGGAGTGGCTGGCCAGAGAATCTTGAGCTATTCTGCACAAGACCAGGGTTCGAATCATCAGTCAGGCAGTTCCAAAAATAAAATTTCTATCTTGCCCTGTTAGTGGTAACTGCAGGAGCCATGCAGCTCTAAATCCTCAGACTCAGGACCCCCCTTTCTATCTTCACTCTAAAAGCTAAAATTACAGGTAGCAGTAACAGCTGGTTGGTACTTTGTACCCCGCCCGTACATCACACAAGCGATAAACACCCGGTGACACAAAGTGCCGCCCTATGGATGAGGATCACCTGTGAAGAGGTTCCAGAAACCCCTTTCAGCCATATTTAGGGCCCCCTGGCAAAAGCCAGGGTGGGGCTTCAAAATAGCTACAAATTGCATCCCACAAGGGAATGATTAAGATATAGTAACCGTTTTATTCAAAGCTTCATTATTCATACGAGTGGGTGAGGCTATTACTGGCTCTCAAAATGTCCATCCATATAATCTAGCAACATTCTAATCAGTCATCTCTGAACTGGAAGGTGACGATCTGCACGGATTCCATGGGCTCCTATTTGAGGGAAATTGTCACCTTTTCTTTGGAGTAAACAAGGTAGGCTGAGAGGGGGATTGTGCTGCATGGGCAGCAATGCATGCTCTCTAAATTACTGCCCAGGTTTTAGGTGAGGGCTATTCCACTAAGTTTACCCAAGGACCATAATTTTGAAAATGTGTGGATCACCATAGGCCAGATGTCCGAGCCCCAAATAGAATGACAATGAATACAATATGAAAAGCAATGATCTGCAGGCCATTTGTTAGGCCTCTGCAGGCCGCCAGTTGAATAGCCTAGATTTAAGCAATTGAGGAGGAAAGTCATCCCTAGCCTTATGTCACCATATGGACTCTGTTATTTCCATGTATCCTTTTACACACAATCCTCTAGAAATAAGCATTTCACCAAGGGCACCAGATGTTGGAATAATAAACACAGAACATATATAATTAATTGTCTTATGCCTGTGAAAGGTTGTGAGGAGGAGATAGGAGCATGTAAGGATCTGTCTGGAGTTCTTTATGTTGACCAGATATAAACTCAGGTCGTCCGTCTACTTGTTCCAGAACCCGAGTTTTGCAAGCCAATCCATTTTGAAGATCTGGCTTATTTCTATGCAGACTTTTAGTTCCTTGGCTCTCAGACAGATGCAGGAACACCCCTAATAAGTAGAATGGGTCTTTTCTGTTTTGCCCCACCTTAATGGGGCTTCAGAACCCAAAGGCAGGAAGTACACTTGTTCATGACTGCTGGATTATACAGTCAGTTTTACATAAACAATCTCTAACAGCCTTAAATGACATGCATGGTAGGCTACAGTGTTAGGATAAGAGGCTCACTTTCAAATCCAGCTGCGACTCGCTGCCCATGGCTGGTGTTCGAAACCGGGCAGTTCCCAGGGTTGACCTAGCCTCCAGGAAATGGGTCCCAGAGTTAACACTCTGGGGTAAATAGAGGAACGTCGCTCTAGCTTCGGAGTCGCTCTAGCTTCGGAGTTGCGTGCGGACAGCGACACAAGCGGACAGTTTCTTATCAGCTGTCTGTACTGGTGGCAGAGCACTTATGGTTTATAACCGTGTGCAAAGGCGCTGGTTCACACCTCTAAACTTTATCTTTATTACCTCTTTCCTTATGGGCCCCAGTACACTGTGATGTGATCATGACATGCAAGGAAAGTGCTTAATGACGTGAAATTGATTATACAGAACCCCGAGGGACATGAAAGATACAGATATTGAGGCAGATTGGTGGGAATAAAATGCCATGAACTGTTTTGCGTGGATAGGGAAAATCAGGAAGGGACAGAAAAAATGATTGCAGATAAGTTCAAAGCTGGGCGTCTGAAAAGTAGTACACTAACATGTGACGATAACGGCCCTGAAATCATGATCATGAGCTGGCGAAGGCATTCACGCATCTCCACAGATCTCGGTCTTTGGTGTTCTGGATCATTCCACTGATGATATTCCTCCATGCCACTGTCTTAAACCATCCACCATCATTTCTCTTGCTCTGCCATTGCCTCTTCTACCAACGATTTCCCTGAAATCCCACTCTAACTGTGGAACACTTAATAATGTGTGCAGGTCATGCTACTCACCCTGCCATCACTATGGGCTGTGTTTGATTCCCATGCCTCCACACAGCAGAATATAACATTATCTTCAGGAAATGGGATAATAATAACAACAAACCTTGCGTTTCCTACAGACCAAGTTGGCAGCTGTAATCAGTTGGATGGCATATCTGAGACTGGTTTCCATACCGATACGGGTCAGCACGGTCAGGGCATCGTCGCTCATCTCCACATCTTCTTCTTCACACCTGCAGATGTGAGAGATCTCATTATACCTGTCAGCAATCGGTCACATGACTACACTACTGCATCTATCAGGAAAACAATTTTAGACCTATATATCTATAGAGAGAGAGAGATAAACAGAAACAGAGCATCTATCATTGTTAACTTTGAGACATGAAATAGGTGACACTTCATGTGGCAGTATTAAATTGTAGATTTCAAAGTCCAGAAGTGGATGAACAATCAGATACTGATGTGTCTGCCTCACAGCTAGTGAAGGTTAAGAAGAAACTGAAGATATGACACAGGTGACATTCATCCATTAGCACTGCATTCTAGACATAAAACAGATTAGATTCTATCTATCAGTATCACATTCTCGACATAAAATAGATGACATTACATCCATCAGCATCACATTCTAGACATAAAACAGATGACATTACATCCATCAGTATCACATTCTAGACATAAAACAGATTAGATTCTATCTATCAGTATCACATTCTCGACATAAAATAGATGACATTACATCCATCAGTATCACATTCTAGACATAAAACAGATGACATTACATCCATCAGTATCACATTCTAGACATAAAACAGATTAGATTCTATCCATCAGTATCACATTCTAGACATAAAACAGATTAGACTATCCATCAGTATCACATTCTAGACATGAAACAGATCAGACTCTATCCATCAGTTTAACATTCTAGACATGAAACAGATCAGCCTCTATCAGTATCACATTCTAGACATGAAACAGATCAGACTCTATCCATCAGTATCACATTCTAGACATGAAACAGATCAGCCTCTATCTATCAGTATCACATTCTAGACATGAAACAGATCAGCCTCTATCTATCAGTATCACATTCTAGACATGAAACAGATCAGACTCTATCCATCAGTATCACATTCTAGACATGAAACAGATCAGCCTCTATCCATCAGTATCACATTCTAGACATGAAACAGATCAGACTCTATCCATCAGTATCACATTCTAGACATGAAACAGATCAGCCTCTATCCATCAGTATCACATTCCAGACATGAAACAGTTCAGCCATCCGGTGAGATTGCAGCCAGACCACACTGAAAATGATACTTTTTACAGCAAAACATCTAGGAGGAAGGCAAGAGGAAGACCAAGAAAGAGATGCAAAAAGATGAATGAATCCATCACCTAAGCTACCCGAGAAGCACTAGGCAAATACAGAAAACCACAACACTGAGCTACAACCTAATATCAGTGAGATGACAAAAGAAGAAGTGTCAAACATTCAGGCAGATAGAGAAAACCACAACACTGAGCTACAACCTAATATCAGTGAGATGACAAAAGAAGAAGTGTCAAACATTCAGCCAGATAGAGAAAACCACAACACTGAGCTACAACCTAATATCAGTGAGATGACAAAAGAAGAAGTGTCAAACATTCAGGCAAATAAAGAAAACCACAACACTGAGCTACAACCTAATATCAGTGAGATGACAAAAGAAGAAGTGTCAAACATTCAGGCAAATAAAGAAAACCACAACACTGAGCTACAACCTAATATCAGTGAGATGACAAAAGAAGAAGTGTCAAACATTCAGGCAAATAAAGAAAACCACAACACTGAGCTACAACCTAATATCAGTGAGATGACAAAAGAAGAAGTGTCAAACATTCAGGCAGGGAGAAAAACGGAACTGAACAGACAGTGAAATCATCACTGTTTAGCCATGTCATTATATGTCACCAAGGACTTGCAGCCTATTCCTCTAGTTTATTCTGAGGAAGCACTTTGATATCACAGATAGCATTCAGTTCAACGCCCTTGGCCTCTGTAACCAACGCTCATTTTAGTTTTTAGTTTTTTTTTTCTCAGGAGTGGTTTACAGCTATCCCATGATATCTACAACTCTCGGTTAAAATTTTTACATATTTTTAAGGCCACTGGAATGTTTTCCATTTCATGCTTGATTCTGTTCATATTTACCAATAATTCACTTTACATTAATTCCAAAGGTCGGGGTTTTAAATTTGAACGCAGCGTGACCGATGTTTATTTTTCTTTTCAAAACGACCTTGGCTCCCAGGTCGACCAGGCCTTAAATGGGTACCAGCTCAGAAGTAAGAGCGGCCAAAATGCTGTTGACAACTAAGTGCTGATTGGTCTATAAAATAAAGGATTAACACAATATACAAATTACACCTGAAGGCAGGAAAGGATCCACTTGGATGTCCCGGCCACCTCAATCCTTTTATTTTGCATTTCAGTGCCTGTCTAATGAATCTCTACTCATTTCTGCTAAGGAATGTGTCCAATATAGTGCCAACTTCTTTGCAGTCAATGAAACACTGATACAATAATGCAGATATAACAACCAAGAGGACGAATACCAACTGGCAGGAGACAAAGAAACATACCTGATCTTCAAGATCTGTTTGATCTCCTTCTCATCGTAAGGGACTGTGGAAATGATGACCAGTCTGTCCAGCAGATCCAGGGGGATCCCATGAGGACTTGTGTAATGAGTGCCGCGAATTCTGGTCAGACAAATATATCACATGTTAACATTGGCAGCACTGTCTTACTGTCATCGCACGTTAACACTGGCACCACAGTCTTACTGCCATCACAATAACACTGGCACCACTGTCTTACTGTCATCGCAGTAACACTGGCACCACAGTCTTACTGTCATCACAATAACACTGGCACCACAGTCTTACTGACATCACAATAACACTGGCACCACTGTCTTACTGTCATCACAACAACACTTGGACCAGTCTTACTGTCATCACAACAACACTGGCACCACTGTCTTACTGTCATCACAACAACACTGGCAGTATTGTCTTACTGTCATCACAATAACACTGGCAGCATTGTCTTTTTCGTTTTTTTTTTCTTTGGTTCGCTTGATCTAAATTATCTGCAATGCTGTCCCTAGTAAGAACTTCAGTGCCTTTTGTAATTCACGTAAAATTTAGCTTCCACCAGTGTCTGTCTTAGCTAGACGTTTTGTCTGGAAATGTATTTTTCTAACTTCCTCTGAGGCTTACACGATTACATGACCTGGCAGTATAGCATAGTGAAGCACCTATTATGTCGCCTTTGAGGCCGAGACAGGAAACATTATAACCAACATTCCATGAGACACAATCAGCAGAGGTTTGCTAGAGTGAATGCTGCATCGGAGGACTGGGCACATGTGAGAATGCCCAATGTGCGGTGACTTTGATTGTGACAACATTCTTGCTAACTGAATTTCAAAAGTAAAAAGAAAGAAAAGTAAAAAGAAACCACAGACAGAGCACAGAGAAGTGGTGTCCTCATTGATTGCTGAGAATACCACATGTGAGTTCCAGAGCCCCATTTGGGGGAAGGGGGGGGGGGGGCGATCCACCGCTCCCCTAACAAGTATGCTGCTGTTATGGATCCAGCGGTGCATGAGCTTTCGCCCTTTGGCCACATCCCATGTAATGGAATTTACATACGTTTCCACAAGCTGTTCTTTTCCTCCATACAAGGTGTTCCACTAGTCTGGTCTCGGAGGAAGCAGCATTCTTATAGTCTCGCTGAATTTACAAGCATGCTGTTAAAGCAGCCTTTTAGAAGTTTGCTGAAATCGGATGTGTCGTTCTCAAAGAAAGACAAGTTTCGCATCCTAGTTGTGAACCACACCACAAAGTCCCAAACACCCTTTTTCACAAACAATGCAAAATAAGAAGAATGCTGGGAATTCTATGGACGGTGGAGAGAACTAAAATTTTAAACTTTGTAAGAGGCCAGTTCAGGAAGCCACAATATTTAATGACCCACATCAGGACAAGACAAATGTAATTTTGTGGTCATGTTACGTGACATACTTTTCAAATTTAATCTGAACTCCCAGGCCAGCCTAAAATGGGTGGGAAAGTAAAGGCACCCAATATAAATTGTACATTGATCTATTTTAATATTCTTCTTCTTCAGCATTCCGAACCCTTGAGGTTCATTGCTGCAGATATCACCCTCCTCCATTCGTCTCTTTGGTTGGCCTTCTCTTTCCAGTTGGTAACACAAAGTGTTTGCAGGTCTGTCTGGATATTATCTGAACATCGTCTTCTTGGTCTCCCTCGTGGTCTACGACCACTCATCTTCCCGGTGTAAACAGTTTTAACTTCTCTGTCATCTGACATTCTTTCAATATGCCTCAACTATTTCAGTCTATTAGCTCTCAATTATATTATAATCTATTATAATAGTTGCACAATATGCAAAAAAAAATTGCTCGAATCGTGAAAATGCAACTACAGTTTTGTGAGACTTTTTTTTTGGTTTTTGTATCCGTTTAATCTCAAAGTGTGGTTAGTACAATGTGTTGCCGTTTACAGCTATGCTGCAATATCTGCACCTTACGACAAACAGTTCTGCATATTCCTAATGCCCCTGGGATATATTTTATTTCATGCTTGACTCCGTTAATGTTTACCAATAACTCAATATATCTATATATATTTCGATTTGTAGAAAGAGAGACAGCGCAAGACAGCGCAAGAAAATTTTTGACAACCTTTTGTCATGGCATAGAGGCGTGCCAACAGGCAAATTTTTACACGCAGCTGCAGATTGCTGATTGTGAATAGGCATGATCGCCCATGCACGGCACTTAATGATGATGATTATCTCCCCCCCTCCCCAAAAACACGGACATAGATTTTTTAAAACTTTCTTAGTGACCTGTGTAAAATTGTTTATATAGGATTTTTTTTAATAATTCCCATGAAGTCATGATCCATTTTTTTTAACCCATTCTAGTTTGAAAGGGTTCACGGTTAAATGCAGAAAAGGAAGAGGCAGAGATTAACTTTTAAAAACAACAATAAAACAGCCAACAGTAAATTTAGGCCATTTACTAAGCCGCCATGGCAAATTATGAGTAAGATTATACAGTAATCTTCATACAGTACCTGGTAATGCCACGGTTTGTGGCCATGATCAAGATGGGTGCCATGTCTGACTCCAGAGCTCGGTTGAGGAAAGAGAAGCACTCAATGTCCAACATGTGAACCTCATCAATGAATAGCACCTGCACATGAAATGAGTAAAAAGTCCAGTAAACATCTCAGGCAAAAATCAACAATACTGTATTCACACAGCAAACATCTCAAGCAAATATCAACAATACTGTATTCACACAGTAAACATCTCAAGCAAGTATCAACAATACTGTATACATACAGTAAACATCTCAAGCAAGTATCAACGATACTGTATACATACAGTAAACATCTCAATCAAATATCAACAATACTGTATTCACACAGTAAACATCTCAGGCAAATATCAACAATATTGATTCATACAGTAAACATCGAGCAAATATCAACAATATTGTATTCATACAGTAAACATCTCAAGCAAGTATCAACAATACTGTATTCACACGGTAAACATCTCAAGCAAATATCAACAATATTGTATTCACACAGTGAACATCTCAAGCAAATATCAACAATACTGTATTCATACTGTAAACATCTCAAGCAAGTATCAACAATACTGTATTCACACAGTAAACATCTCAATCAAATAACAATACTGTATTCACACAGCAAACATCTCAAGCAAGTATCAACAATACTGTATTCATACAGTAAACATCTCAAGCAAATATCAACAATAGTGTATCTGGCTGGGACTCACGAGCAAAATAAAATAAAGGCAGCTGCAGGAAATGCGGTAGCTGCTGCTCCTGAGTCCCAGCCATCTAGTTTAGCCCCAATCCACGCCGCGTGAAGGATACTCTCAGCGGTGACCGAAGTCACCAGAAGTGCGCAATTGACACGTGACTGAGGCCCTGTTAGGGTATATTTTCTGCCTCGATAATTTGGGACCGTTATTCATTAGATAGCTGGAATACTTATTATCGGCAAAAAAACTTACCCCAGGTACAATTTCTGCCTTTCCCTCTTCTCTCCATTCTGCTACTTTCGCATTGATCTGTTCTCTGACCTCCGACTTGATCTCTCCCGTGTCCCCCGAGAAGAGGGCCAAAAAACCCTGGGTTCGACTGTTGATGACGTCAATCTCGTGTAACGTGACGGTGTGTACCACTTCCTTCCTCTTCTGGAGTTCTCCTTCAGGACACTGTACGAACTTGGTCTGGGGTCACAGAAGACATGCGCTTATGGTTACTTTAAAACATTCATGTATGAAAAATGTAAGCAAACAAATTAGGAAAAGTTTGGAGGCAAATAAGATGTGGTTCTTGAGATGAATGTTGCGAATGCCTTTGACTGCCAGTTTAACTAACACAATGATTGCCTGGAAATGGCTATTTTAAGGCAGAACATTACACACAACAGTGAGAAGGAGACAAACATAGTTCTTTGTCTGTGTGATGAGACAAGCAGCATGGAAAAATACTGTGACTGGAAAGATCACTGGTGGAAAAGGCAGACCAAGAAAAATTATGGTGGGTGGCTTAAGACAGTGGCATGAAGGAAAATCATCAGTAAAATTGATCCAGAACAACAAAGACCAAGATCTATGGAGATGTATGTATGCCTACGACAGCTGGCTAGCCACTTGATGTTGTATGAAAAAGCACATTGCTTGAAGTGTATACATAATTAAACTGGGACACACACACACACATATATATATACTAATTTAATTTGTATATACACCCATGTCTGTTTTAAAACATTCACTTATGAAACAGAAATCTCTAGAATTAATTTCTCTAACCTTTTTTGAAAAGGCGTTTTCATACTTTGGCATATCAGGCTTAGAAGTAAAAGTACAGGACCCTTTTCCGCGCCTGTATGCGTATTTGGCAAACAGGGCTAAACCTATACTTGATATACCAATCGGCATTCGGTGGGTGATGGGGTCAGCATAATACAGGCCACCTTTGCTTCCCGCGAGGCTTATAGGGCTAAACCTAATCTTTTATGAACCAATCGTCATTCGATGTGTGATGTATTATATCAGCGCCTCTAGTTCTCAAGACGCTACCTGGAAGCGGGCGATCGATCTCAGAGCCCCAAGGTTCCTTTTTGTTTTTAATCTGCCATAATGATTCTCTAACTTCCAATCTACTTTAGACATACAACCCAGTCTAGTGTAAACTATTCATTTATAAAACATTAGACTCTAAATTATATTAAATACTGTCAATATAGTGTAATCAACCCAGTTTATACTTTTATAAATCACAAACCCTTTTTGTAGTTCCTGTGTTCAATTTAAAAAAAGTGTTAGCTCCTCCAAAACCATGACCACTACACAAGTTAAACTTTCAACTGTCATCATGGCTACAATCTTTAATTTAACAGTCATATATATTGGTGGTCAGCTTTATGTGCATTCCCTTTATTTACTGCAGCAATCAGTAATAGTACACTTTCGCTGGAATATATCTCTTTGAATTATGTTTTTTCCTATTATTTCCCCTGAGAAGGTTTTTTATTTTCAAATTATATTTTGATGTTACCTTCCTGGAAACCACATATCTCTATGTCTGAGACAATACATTTGTCTCTCCCAAACTGTTAAATTCTAGTGCCTCGGGTGCACTTAGGGGCAATGACTAAAAGATACTGCCGCGGTGGAGACCAAGATGAAGCAAAAGACAGGATATTAGTTGTAGTTAGACCCCTATTTCCACTAGGCCTACATAGAGGGCAGCGGTGGAGACCACGATGAGGTTAAGGATAGAAGAATAAGACTTTCTTTCACCATCTCTTACGAAGCCAGGCAATTTCATCTAGTATTAAATATAGTTTATATTCATTCACTAGTCATGTTTACAATCTTTACTTATGAAACAGCAGTTTGTAAATCACCATCGTATCCCTTGCCAGCTGGCACAAGCATTCATGACTCCCATAGATCTGTCACTGGAGCTCCTGGTCAAGTGAATTGATCATAATCCTTCATGCAAGCATACTGGTCTATACAGCATCATGTCTTGAACCTGAACTTTAGTTCTGCATGCATGCACAACCATTTTACTGAAATGGCTTATTTGTATGCAGACTGTTGGCTCCTTGCCTCTCAGGCAGACGCATTCCTACTTTCAATGAAACACCTCTAAGTAGTCTTACCCTACAACAAGCTCATTAGGCTAGCAGATTGTCAATTTGTTTTCTACAAAATGAAGCCCCAAAACCCACACAAGGGGGCAATCTCTGCCTGTCTCCATGCTCATAACTTTGTCTATGTTCCTAATTTTGCCCATGTTCCTAATGTTGTCCACATTCCTAATTTTGTCCACGCTCTCTAATCTGTCCCTATTATACCAAACACTTCATCTAAAACACCAAGAACTACAATACCTGTGCTCCCATTGCATCATAATCTCTGGCCCTTGTAAATGAACGACCCAGTTTGGTAATCTTCCCTGTGGCTTTGTCAATTGTAACGATATCTCTGTGCAGAAAAAAAAAGGAACAACATTCAATTAACAACAGTGATAAGAACCAGATATTTCACATCATCTTGGTATTGGCAGGATTTGACAATATAAACACACTGTCTTTATTTGCCGTTCAAAGGGTAGTTAATGAGTTATTGTCTACAGCTTCTTCTTCACAAAGTCCATGCCATGTGGCGTTGGTAGTCACGTCTATCCACAACCTTCTGTTTCATGTACTTTCAATCAACTCTGACACACATGACCCTCCATGCCATGATGTCAAACTGTCCAGCATCTTTTCTCTCAGTCTCCCTCTGCCTCTCCTCCAAATTTCCTACTGTCAGGATCTACTCCAGTTTTCTCCTTCTCGTCACATGACCAAAGAATGCAGACTGTCTCTTTCTGACTGCTATTTAAGGCCGACTACAGGCAATCAATTCTGCTCTAAAATAGCAACTGAAGCAAAACCTCATAATAGTGCAGACAAATGATTTACCAGGTGCTCTCAAACTTGTGGCCAACAGTTTGGCTGGAACATGGTGTTGATGGCAGTCAGATGAACATTCTACTTTATCTGGAGGCAAACAGCAGTTAGTCAACATTAACAAATACGACTATTACCATTCATCTTCTTCTTCACGTTCACCAACTGTAAAAGCCAGCGGAAAGTTCTGGTTGTTCGCTTACTTCTGGACTCTAGTCCTGTTCTAGAAACTGAGTGTTTGTTGCGTGCACATTCGTTTCACAGGTTGATTCATTTGCAAGCAGACTGCTGGTTCCTTGCCTCTCAGGCAAATGTACTCCGACTTGGAAGTAAGCTCCCAATTAGTCGACTCTTACGACATGCTTTTGAGCAGGCAAAGGGTCGATAATTATTTTCCCACAATGGAGCCCCCCGGAAACCACACAGGTATTTCAGCATTCAATCGAACTATAAAAACCCAGAAACATAAATGATAAAAAGGCATACCCTGCCTGTGCTTTCTCCTTGGTCAGAGATTCAATCATCTTTTGCCCAAGCTGATAAATTGTCTCCATTTCTGTGGTTTTCAAAGTGAGCTTCCCAACTTTGGCACCCTGTGGAAATAAATGTTACAGTACATGCATCAAAACACTTATTTATATTCTCTTCCATATTTGTTGTATTACATAATTTAAACATGTAGTTCTATTCTCTCCCCTATTTGTTACAGCCCATAATTCAAACATGTAGTTATATTTTTTTCCCTCATTTTTTAGAGGACATAACTCGGACAACTTTATATTCTCTCCCTCAGTATGGAGCATCAAGTTTTTTTTAAATACAAATACACAGAACAACAGGCTGGGGTTTATGGAAGCGAAAGTAATCAAATGCTGAAGTTCCGAAGAGAGTAGAATTTTTATTAAAGCACTCCTGATGGAAATAAAAAGGAGACAAACAAAATACTATGGTCTGATTAGAAGACAACACTTTTACAAATGGACTGGGGGGAAAAGTTAAAGTCAAGTGAGCAAGTGGCAGATGGCAACAGAAGAGGGAGGATAACATCAAAAGTTGGACGAACAGTAGTCTGATGCACATCCAGGCAGAAAGACTGTCTTGAGATCTACTGCAGCCAACCTTTATTGTGGAGATGGTACATGACTGATTTATACTCTCCCCTCACTTGATACGGCCTTTTTTCCCCCCGCAGATTTTTATATTTAGAAGTCTGTCACAGATAGAAGAGAAAGCAAACGCTGAGGTACTGAGTGCCGCATTCATTAGCAGGTCACATAGATTTTAGAGTTTCAGACTTGGAAACAATCATCTTCATAGGCTGTCAACTCCAGTGGAAAGTCCCGGTGCTTCGTCCACTTCTGGACTTTGGACTGGAGTTTTCCTTGTCCATCCATTTTACAGCTCTGGTTTATTAGTGTGCAGAATGTTAGTTCCTTGCCTCGCAGGCAGATGCACTCTGCCTTCAAAGCAAACACTGATCCAGATTTCTAGGGCGACGTCAGAGAGGTGTAGGCAGGTCTTTATCAGTGCAAGCCCTGGGCCTGGTGCAGCATCACATGTGGTTCAGCCCCTCTAAATCCCACTCTTGGAGACATGACACGAGGTGTTACCTAACTGTAATAAACACACTAGCGTGGTAAATATTCTAAGGTAGGCCAGAACAATGTCTACACTTACAGTTCCAGTGGCAGGTTTGTCAATCTGAACCTCCATGTGTAGCTCAGCCCCTCTACATCCCAATCTTAAAGAGGTGACATAAGGTGTTATCTAGCTGTAATAGGGAGTCACCGTGGTGTAGTAGCTAGGAGCTAGCTTGAAGATCGGAAGGTTGTCGGTTTGGATCCTGATAGCACTGGACTTTTTTTGCTCTTTGTTTTGTTAAACAAGAATGGCCTTGGTTCCCAGGTCAACCAAGCCTTGAGTGGGTACTAGCTGCAGTTCTGGAAAGTAAAGGTGGCCAGGGTGAGATGGTCAACATCACACTGTTGACCATCTCACCCACCAAGTGCAGACTGGTATACCAAATATGTCTAGCCCTATGTGCCTAATTCGCCTCTAGGTGTGGAAATGGGTCCTTCGTTTCTTTTTTTTTCCTCACAAATATACTAGTGGTAAACTATTCTAAGACAGCCAAAACAATGTCTACACTTACAGTTCCAGTGGCAGGTCTGTCAATCTGAACCTCCACGATTTCTCCCTCAATTATCTCTGTCTCCTCCCTGCAAAATACAGACAATTAAATCTTTACGAACATTTTACTGCCAATCTGGAACCAATATCTAGATAACAAGTCAACGAACATAATCAATTTAAAATAATAAAACTAGACAACCAATCAAATCTTCTTTTTCTTTGTTTGCTGGCTGTAAGATCCTGTGGAAAGTCCTTGTTCGTCCATTTGGAATTTGGCTTTACGCCAGAGTTTTGCACGTGCATTCGTTTTACTGGCTTGTTCGTGTGCAGCTGGTTGTTCCCTGCCGCTTGGGCACATGAGCTCTGACTTCGAAGAAAGCCCCCCCCCCCCCTTTCCCCACAATTAGTCGACTCCTAAGACATGTTTGTTGGGGAGGCAGTTGGTCTATTCTTGTTTTCCCCAGAAACCAATAAAATGTTTAAACACAATTTATGAACAAATGAAATCCAGACAGGAAGCCTCTACTGGCAATCTTTCCATCCTAGTTAAGAACCCACACAGAACTAATGCTAATGATGGAACAAGCCTTACTTTATTCTGACTCCGATGGATTTTCTGAAAGCTTGTGTTAGGGCTTCTGTCTTGCTCATCTCCAGAGAAAAGATTTCACTTCCTGCAATACTTGTGAAAGGAGTGTCTGTGCCCAGAGCCTGTGCCATTCCTGCACATTTAAAATAAAAAGTACTTTATTAATATCTTACCCCAGATGACGTCACAGGACAGTCCAACATTTTAGAGGGTGACAAGACTGCGTTTCCCGGCTTTCTGATGCTTTTAACGATCATAAAACACCTAGAACTGGCCCTAACCCCAACTCACCTAAGTCCCACGAGAGAGTGCAGCCTAGGTCCCACGACTGCATGCAGCCTATCTACCACCCTCTACCGTGACCTGTGGATTTCCCGTTTGGGGTAGGATATTTAAAAAGCACCCAAAAAAACGTTTTAAATATTTTAGAACATACTTTCTGAGGCACATTTTTAAAATTCCCTTTTGGTTGGACTCGGTAAAGAGTTGGTTAATGTTGAAATCAGGCAGGAAATAGTACTGAGGATGCTGTCTCTTTATCGACTACTGAGGAAGGAGATGGAGCATGCGTGGGAATGTCAAGAGTGCAGTGATGTCAGTTCTTGATTTTTCATAGGTGTTGTTAGTGCTGTTTTCATTTAATGTTGAAGCAACGGTTGCACAGTTGTTAGTGCTGTTTTTGATTATTCATTCATTCATTGATTTGAAGCAACAGTTGCAGTTAGTGCTGTTTTCTTCAAAGTCACAGTGCCACGTCTGTAAAATGGATATGCATGCAAACTTAACTCTTTGAGTCCCAAGAAACGCACCATACGTTCATAGGTTCCTACCTGGAAGCCCAATGAACGCATGATACGCCGATTTCATGTCTGTTTTGACTACCCTTGGGCCTGTAATGCTAAACCCCCTGGGACTCAAAGAGTTAAGTTCTGGATTAAGACCATCCTGGAGTGGACAAGCAACCAAAACTTTCAGCCAGAGTTTACAGCCAGTGAACGCAAAGTAGTTGTTTAGGAAGGAAAAGTGACATGACAGCATGGTAAATGCTTGGACTGATTTATTTATTCTTGATGTTACATCCCTTTCAGAATCTCTAACGTAACTGTACTTTCAAGGCATATAAATTCATGGCTATGACTTTTTATACGTGAAATCATATTATAAAGGACAGTTATCAGACAATAAATTATGGTTCTCTTTATACTGGTAATTCTGTCTTTTACTCTTGGGATCACAAACAACAACAAAAACAAAATACACACAATGACATACCCATTGCTATCGCTGTTTTTCCAGTACCTGGTTGACCTGCGATAAGAATGCCTCGACTGGCAATCTTTCCATCCTGGTTAAGAAACAAAGAATCAGTCACAGATAATGAAGTAAATGACTGGAAAACATTTTGTACATACAGAACTTCAGTTTTTAAACTTCTGCAATAATATAACAAACATAGTTTAAAGAACACAATATATAAAGGTTTCAATATGTAAACAATCGTCTGCAGTGTAGAAATAATCAATTTTGTATTAATTCTTTCCGGGAAAACAGTCTCATGTTTTGAACAACTTGGTTCCCAAAAAATGTTTACAACTCAGCTTCAAAAAAAAAACCTGAAAAGTTGAACAGAAATTATAATACCCTATCCTGTAGGGTCCCCAACCGACTACACTCCGCTCTTTTCTTGCATCTTCAGTCCCAACCAACTAACTCAACAACCACTCACCTTTATAATCTCCAGAATGACACCGGCAGCTTTCCTGGCCTTAAGCTGGCCAACCATGCCTTGAGAAACCTGTCTTGCCTCAAGAGCATCATCGAGACCTAGACCCCGTATATGGGAATGGGCACCTTGGAGAAATAAAAAGACAAAATTAACAAACGATTGCCCAGATGGTTCTGCTAAAGATGTAAAATAAAAAGGGGAGGCAATGGAATCAACACTCCTAAATGACAATAAAGCAATACAATTAATAGTGGTGGGAGAAACTTGCATCAACTTCAGAGCAGAGGCTTTCTTATCTTCTTCTGCGTTCGACATCAGCCATGCTAAACACCAAGTCCTGTCTGGGTAACAAACAGGATTGTGCGTTTAAGGTCGCCACCGGTCCACCATAGCATCTCTTGCAATGTCTCCCTTGGGCCAGATCCACAGTCTTTGCTGGGAGAAGCTAGAGCAGTCCTGCAGTATGTGCTCAGGGGTCTGTCTTTCTGCTCCACAATCACGGGCAGTATTCTTTTATGCCTATCCTGTACAAGTGTGCTCGAAGACCACAGTGTCCTGTCCGAAGTCTAAAAATTGATCTTTGTTCTTTCCTGTTGAGTTTGTTTATGCTGTCTCTGGTCTGTAATCTCCATTCTGCCTTCTCCACTCTTACTTGAAAGACTGGTTTAGCACTGTTTTTGTTTCCTAGTAGCTGTATGGTGGATGAGGTTGTGGAAGATCACTCCCAGCTTTTGCCAACTCATCTGCTCTCCCATTTCCTTGAATACCACAGTGGGCTGGTATCCACTGCAAAACTAGTTCTGCTTCCTTGGAAAGTAAGCCAATGTTGGTCCTTAGATCTGCAATTAGTTTGTATTGTCTTTTGCTTTATATTGCTTTAAAAAAAAAAAACAGTGAGTCAATAAGTACAACAATTTTGTGCCCTCCTTGTTCTTGAGTGATGAGATGTTGGACTGCAGAAAGGAGGGCAGTTTGTATCAAGAGCAGAGGCAACTGCCCTCCTTTCAGCTGTGCCAACAATCGAGCAGAATTAAATATTAAAACTGCCATATTAGCTGATTCGAAATCGGTTCTCCAGGCCATCTCATGCTCCAATCAGAACAGTATTATCTTTGAAATAACAAAAACCAAACTAGTCACACTGTGGTATCCTTGGAAACGAAAAGGTCGACAAGCTTGCAAAGACTGCTGGGAAACTAGAGCAGCCCCACCCACTACAGAGCTTTAAAGAGGCAAAGAAACTCTTAAAGAAATCCATGAAAACAAAATAGAGAGGGAAGATTACAGACTACAGCATGAGAGTAAAAATAGACTTGGCCAAAATGCTCAGACCCAGAAGGGGACACTGCAAACTCAGGGCACACCTCCATCGAATGAGTCCTGCTAACTCTGATGTGTGTGGTTGTGGCTCCCCAAAGCAATCTCCAGAGTATGCCCAGATTGGCTAATCAGGGAGAAGAAATCTGGCCTACAGAAGCATCCCTACCAAATAAACTGTGAGGCACAGGTGAAGTCCTCAAGCACACCTTCCTGTTTATGAACCATTTTTAAACAGATGCACAGTAAGTAAACACTGATCGCTGAAGATACATGAGAAACCATGAGAACAATTTAACTAGAATGAGTTTACACTGGAACCCACAGTCCACAGAGGCAAAGAAATAAAGGCAAATTAGATAACATTGAAAAGGAACTAGAAAATAAAGTTAAAAAAGAAGGGATGAGCTGCAAAGGATGAGACAAATCTGGCATGAGTTGGTTGAAGCTCGTGGGAGAAAAGGTGATTCTGAAAAATGCTCTATCAGTATCACTCCTTTCCATGTGTTGACACATGTGATGGAAATGGTTTGACCATGTTATGAGAATGAATCCTGATATACCTATCAAAACAGCTCTTACTTGGACACCTGAGGGAAAGAGAAAGAAGGAGAGTCCAAGAACAACATGGAGACAAACGATGGAAAATGAACTAAGTGCTGCATCTCTGACAAGGAAAACTGCACTAAAGATTGCACAGGATAGGAAAGCATAAAAAGTTAGCGAAAGTCCTCTCTGAGAGCAGCCTCGTGTGCCACTAGGCATAAACTCATAAACTTTATGATAAAAATTATTGATGATAACAACAATAACATAATAAATAATTGATGATGTTGCCACATTTAAAAAAAAAAAACATTTATACTGTATAAGTTCGTGCTTATACTAAACACAGCACAATCCCTGTCAAACAAAAAAAAAGCACAATGTCAAGGAAAAAAACAACAATAAAGGAAATACTAACATTAATAACAATAACAACAGAAACTATCATCATGATCATCCATGTTGCTTATCACTGCCATGGCAACCATCAAACAATCAGTTTCCATGCACACGTGGTAGTGATAAAAATACACTTACCAATACGCTCAATCCTAGTCACCTCTCGTATCTCCTGCACCTTTTCTGCAGTTTGCTGAAATTTCAAAAATATACATTAATAAAACAATGTATGAATCTTGCTTGACTCGTCTGCAAAGAAACATTTTTTTTTTTTCATTTAACAATATGTTCAGTTTCCGGTGAGGCGGCTTTGTGCGTTGTTGCATTGTCTTGGTGTCATGAACATAAAAGTTACCAAAATTTATTTATATGCTAGCTTTTGAATACTAATAGTTGAGTTTCGTGCTTGTAAATAAATATAATCTCAATATATATACATAAATTACAAGAAAACGCTTCCAGCAAACGAAAAAGACAACTTACAGCCGCCATGCCGCTATATGTTTACATGCGCCCTCTAGCGGGGGAATAAAAACTACGTTTCAGTGGAAATATGTGAAACAATTAAATCTGAGTCTTCTTTTCTTCTAACTTTGTACCTCAGTGAAGTTTCGGGAGGAGATGCAACGTTCGTTGATAAGCTCTGTTAAGTGCACTACTAAGACTGATGTTCATTTCTGTAAGGCTGTTCTTAATGCCATTACTTCATATTTTTTCGAGGTCTTCCGCTCGCTTGTAACATTTCAGTGTGGCTCGCTGTAGTAGATGGTTCCAATGCCTATGTCAATCCTTCGAAGGCATCAGTGTCATGGTTCTCTTTGAACAATCACATTGTCAAGTCGAACTTACCAGAAGTGAAAATGCGTGATAGTGTATTGATCAGAACCAATGTTATGGCGTTTCTCGGGGTGAGGTTCGATCGCAGCTTGTCATTCAGGGAACACGTTGACCATGTGTGATGAGGTGCTGTGCTTGACTCGTCTGCAAAGAAACAATGGTCAAGCAGACCACGATTCATTCCAAGTGAAGCATTAACTCATTTCACCATGTGATAACAAAAGCACGCAAAGGTCTATCTGCAATGAGGATTATGGCTGCTTCCAATATTGAGCAAAGACTACTAGTACTTCTATTCTACGGTCTGGTCCTTTCCCCCATTGAATACGCTCTGGCCATCCTCACTGTCAGTGCTACCCAGATTGAACGACTCGAAAAGGTGCAAAATGAAGCCATGCGCATTATTTTGGGATGTACAAGAGACACATCCTGTGGAGCAATGAGGTATCTACTTGACTTTCCAACAATGAACCAAAGGATCAGGATGTGGAGGGCTCGGGCATATCTCAAAATATGTGCTGATAAGAAACACCCACTGCATCAAGCGCTTTTTAGTGAAAAGGGCGACAGACTGAAGAGGGGGAAATCGTGGCTAGGTCAAGCAGAAGATGTTATTAGGCAAATATGCAGCCTAACCGACATCATACCTGGTGCAGAATGGATACCTGTGCCTCAGGCGTTTATTTGTACATTTTCCTGTATTGTCACACTCAACAGGCGATGTAAAGAAGAGAATCCTGTTGCTGTTAATGCAGAGGTCAACGCTCTCATCGGTGAAAATTCAGACGAAGCAGATGCAATAATCTATACAGACGGATCCGTTATACGCCAAAGAAGAAGCGCATAGGCATTTACAGCACGCTCCGCGGGCAGAACAGTCAAAGAAGCCAACGGCGCCTTCTCCATGACAACCAGCAGCATGACGATGGAGGTGATGGCAGTGACGCAAGCGCTTGCCTGGCTTGAAACACAAAAATACACCAGCGTGTGTATACTCAGTGATTCAATGAGTATGATCCGGAGGGTTCAGGCAGGTTCAGTGCGAAGATAATGGCTTGAATCATTACAAAAGTCCACTGTGTGTGGAGTCACCTTTATTTTTGTTCCGGGATACGCAGGCGTCGATGGAAATGAAAGAGCTGACAGGTTGGCTGGATCCGCTATCACTACCGACGGTCAGCCTATGGATCATGCTGATATTATCAATGCCCTCAGAGAAATGGGAAGGATAGAGGACTTTGGTGTCAGTGAATCAACATCACTCGCCAGAATGGCAGACTTGGGAATTAAGATCGGCACAGCAAAAAACGAGACGCACACCAGACACGCCAGAAGACTTGTTAATCAACATAGAACTGGTACTATTAGCCATCGGACGTTGGGGTTCATACTGATGGGAGGATCTGAGCACCTATGGATATGTCCGGAGTGCAATGAGGATAACCCAACTAACTAACTAACTCGCTGTAGTAGATAGTAGGGCTGTACCGAATATTCGCTTCGGGGCCGAATAGTGGACCGAAAAACTATTCGGTATTCGGCCGAAACCTCTACACCCCAAGGTAGAAGAGGAGCGACTAAGTAAGTAAGTATTCGGCCGAATACTTGCGGTCGGGCCGAATACGAATAGTGGTTACTTTACAAAACAATTTCCTGAGGCCTCAGAGATGTGGTTTTACAGAACAATGCTAAAATACCTTAGACAGCCAACAACAACAAAAAAAAGCAGCCAAGAGGTTTTGGAAGAGATGGGAGCCCGAAGACAACTAATCACAGACATCAGAAGGAGACAGTCATCATATTTCGACCATATTATAAAAAGAGGGAAAATGGAACATGTGGTGACCACCGGAAAGATCTGTAGAAGAAGGGATAGCGGAAGACAACGAGAGAAGATTCTTGACAGTCTTGTTGCATGGTGTGGGGGTGTGTCAGCACACAAACTATTGCATGCTGCAGGAGATCGCAGACTGCTTCTTCTTCTTCTTCTTCTTCCGTCTTTCTATCCCCCAACCAACTCACGCCAAGTCGTTCTATCCTTCGCCATTGCATGGAGCTCTCCCCATGTCCTCCCCATCTTTCTAACTTCATTCTCCAGCTCTCTTCTCCATGTGTGTTTTGGCCTTCCTTTATTCCTATGCCCCCTGTGGGTTCCAATGCAAAGACATTCTAGTTATGCTGTTCTCATGTTTTCTCAGTGTGTGTCCTATCCCACGCCAGCGTCTTTTCCTCACCTCTTGGTCCACTGGAGCCTGTTTAGTTCTCTCCCAAAGCTCTACATTAGTTATTCTATCATACCATTTAATTCCTTCAATTCTGCGCAGACACCAGTTAATTAATGTTTGTAGTTTATTAGTAATTGCCTTAGTTGTGTGACTGCAGACTGTGGCGAAGCATAATCGTCCACGCCAGTCGGCAAGGCACCTGATGATGATGATGATGCAGTATTCGTATTCGGCCAAATAGTTGGTCCAGCTATTCGTATTCGACCGAATAGTGAAAATCACTATTCGGTGTAGCCCTAGTAGATAATACCAGGGCATTCTTGTTAGGTGTCCAAACTCCTCCATTTGTTGTTCTTTGAATACCTGTAAGACTGGTTTTATTTCTAGCAGTCGTCTGATTTCGTGATTTCTTTCCTTGAAACTCCTGCAGCTCTTCTAAGGCATTTCATCTCTGTTGTCACAATTTTACGTTCATTAGAGGATGTAGGTGTCCACGTTTGGCACTGATAGCATAGTGTTGGCCTAAAAATAGTTATGATAATATGATTCAATTTAGAACTGCGGGGTATCTGCTTGCGTGTCAACAATCTGAGAGAACAGTCGTAACAGTCTTAATAGCAAATCATGGCTGGTAAGCGGGGTGAGGGGGAGGGGGCGCAGGTGAGATATCTAACAATAGTTGATGACGGCTGGGGTGACCATCATATTTTGGACTGACAACAGGATATCTTATTAATATTTTGACCTGAAACGGAACACCACACGCAAATGTTAATTACAACACATGTTTTGGTTTTTTCCCGCCGATCACCTTTAGGGAGTAGTGTGTCTTTTTTCCCCCCAAAAAAATGTTCGATCATAGGAACTAACATAAGAAACTAAGGTTATTTTTACGCTGGTCTCCCCATTTGCACACCGCTACACACTAGCTCACTTCTGATTGGACGACCTACCTGCCACATCACCTATGATAGGTCGGCCCCGAGCGATCTGACTTTCACACAAGGTTATGGGAATATTCCGCACCCGCGCTCATTCTGCGTGTTGTATATTTCACTATGCCAGAGCTTTTAACACTTCTAAAACATTTAGATACGTGGTCTAACACACAATCCCCCCCCCCCCTTTTCCCCCTCGAGAGTGACAAAACCTATGTTATAGACCGTCTCTTTCTCGGAAATAAAAACCTAACTACCAGACAACAACAGACTGTGACACCCATGTAACCTCGATCACGGTAGACTAGTCCAACCAACTTATCAATGGAGTTGACCTACAACTGGTGTTGTGCAAATGGGAAGACAATCCTAAAAATAACTGAAACTAATAATGAATTACATATTAAATGTTATGAAAAATCTTATCCAAACAAGAAGAAAAATTAGAATGAACGTTGTTGCTAGAAAGCCTTCATCAACATACAACACAAACACAGCCACAAAATTACAAACAATTCGTGAAATTACGTAGATTTATGATGATTCACTCCCTAGAGACCGGGGGAGGGTAGAAGTCTAAGTCAATGTGGAAAAAAAAATCACTCTAGCAATGATCGTTACTAAATGACAACTGTGATCAAGAATCGTCTTACACGGGAGCATCGATTGGAATATCCATTCATTAAGCATCCTTAGTAAATGAATTAGTTAGTTAGTTAGTTAATTAGTTAGTTAGTTGACCTCAGAACATGTCCATAGGTGCTCAGATCCTCCCCTCAGTATGAACACCAACGTCCGATGGCTAATAGTACTAGTTAAGCATCCTAATAGTAGCAAATTAAATAGACCATCTGCAGCAACCAGCGCAGAGTTCCAATACTAATGGTACCAGCCTAGCCTGGTTGTATGTCCGTCTTGCCTTTCCTCTGAGCGTAGTGTGCCGGTCGAACCCTCTGGTCACACGCAGGTCAAAAAAAACTTAAAACATCCCTATCTTCAGGGGCCAGTGCAAGGTTACAATTATGATGGTACCAGGAGTAATCTGATTGATTGTCCATCTTGTCTTCTCTCTTGAGTGTACAATGTCGGCCAGATCTTCTTGTCGATCTTCGTTGCACCATTCTTTCCAGATCGTAATGTGTGCTCATACTGTTGACTGTTCACTGACTCCCAGAGGTTTTTGGGCAACGTTTAGTTTGCCATGGATCTGTTTACCTCCGGAAGTTGCAGAACCTGCAACAGCTTTCTGCCTGTTAATCTCCCAAAACAAAACAACATACTGAATGGGGAAAACAGATTTACATATCTGCTAACAAAGATCACACCCATCGGTCGGAGTATCGGGATAAAAAACACATAGACATACGCACGCACACACGCGCAAACACACACACACAGAGAGAGAAAGAGAGAGAGAGAGAGAGAGCTTTGCCACGAGGGCAATCCGTGATTTTTTTTTTTTTATATCCAGAAACCATGAGTTGTAAACTTT